TGCTATAGTTTTCCTGTTAAAAATTGTTACAATTTAATTTTATCAACTATATCTATTAGGGCTAAGCATGAGACTCGAAGAATTTAGAAAACTGAACCAAAATCACTCCGAACTGAAAAATAACCGTTGACCGTTTGACTTTCTCCAAATCAATCGAACCGAACCAAAAAAATAATTGGTACGGTTCTGTAGATTTTACAAATATCCATACCGAGAACCGAACCGAATCGTCTCATACCGTACTGAATCGAAGAACCGAAATTAAGAACCGTATTATAACATTAGATGTGTGTTATTTATATATTTTATGTCAACTTTGATCCTATATAATTTGAGAATTTTTAAAATTCAAATAAAATATAGTTATAACAATTAAGCTTCACTTAAATTTCATGCTTGGTAATACTAGATCTACAATTTAATTTTGGGCAACGCTACACGTACAATTATAGTTGATAATATTAGTTGACAACATTAGTTAAAATTTTTATTAAGTCAAATTTAGCTATACATTTATTTTCATCTCAACCATCCATATCATGCCACATCATGTTGTCATGAAATAGTACAAAAACAATTGTACAAGTAGCTTTTTCCTTTAATTTTTTCTGTTATAAAAAAATTATTTATAATGGTATGATAGGTTAAAGAATAAGTTGCACAAATATAGCCTTAACTAAAATTTAAGTTACTACTAAAGTTGATTTCGAAATAAAATCTTTAATATGAGGAAATATTGATGAATGTTGTTTTCTTTAAAGCATATAAAAATTGTAATATAAATAGGTAGTCATTAAAAAAAATCTCAGAAGATTCGAACCGAATCATACCGAACCGAACCGTTCCAATAATCACGAATACCGAACCAAATCGAAAAATAAAAATCTCTGAACCGAACTGTCCCAATGTTTTGGTACGATTTCGGAGCTCGAATTCAGTTATCTCCGAATTTTGGTACGGTCACCCCTACCGGTCGCGATTCAAGGTCACATTGTGATCAGCATTCATGACCTCTTTTTATTTGTTTTATTTAATTAAAATTATTCAAACACGTTTTCCAATATATATCAATAATTTATATTTTTTAATTCTTTAATTCTTTTTATGCCTATAAATGTAGTAGTGTACCACAATTTTATAACTTTCTTTCACAAAAAATTTTAACAACTGCTCATTTGCTTAAAAAATGAATCCCAATCATAGAATTTTTTTTTAAATTTCCAGATCGAGAATTTCAAGTTTATATTCATAGAAGTTTCGTGATACGAGACTATACAACAGAAATTCTATGGAGCCACCGGATGGTTCCATAGCAAAACCAAACAATACAATGCATCGCCAACTTCGTACAAACTTAGTTGACCATATTTGGACTCATTTTGCTACCAATAATTTTTTTTTTTGGTTCTACTATTTTTTTTAATCTTAATTTAAGTTTTTGTTATGTAATAATGTTATTAGTATTTTCATGCATTTTAAATCAAGTATTTTAATTAGAATTTTATTTTATTTTTATTATGAATAGAATATAAAAATAATATTTAATGAGTAGGTAATTGGTCTCATATGTTTGCATTTAAATGAACTAACCAATGTGGATGTGTGTTTAAATAGAGAGATGTGTAGTAGAACAATGATGTTAAAGATAAAGTGTATGATAAATGTTTAAATGAATGAATGCGGATGTAGATGCCCTAAGAAAGATATAATTGGTTATAATAAAAACCATAACTATATGGTATATTATGCGACATGCAACGCTAGTATCTGTCACTCTGAATAAAAAAAAAAAAAATATTACATAGTTATTACGAACTCTTATAATTGTTACGAATATATTATTATTACGAATATATTAAAAAAATATATTATTACAAATGTTGATTCGTGCCGAACTCTGCTAATGTTGAAATTAGTCGTGCCAAACTCTTATAATTGTGTATTTATTACGTGATACTAACAATTATAATTAAATATGCTATAGTTATAGCAGTAATGTACGCCCCATCACACGTGGGGGAAATAGTTGTATTGATTTTATTTTTTTCCGCCTGCAGCCATTCACCCGTGACAGTACGAAAACGACACGGATTCGTTGAATGTTCATACAAAAAATCAATATTTTTATTTTATATTTTAGGATGTGATCATACAATCTCAATGTGACACATTTTTATCGTAGACCTTTTATCGATTTTTATGTCATACTAACATATCATTATATGAGTATATGACAAAAATTAAGACAACATCACTGTATATATATTTATTAAAATTAAACATAAAAAAAACTATTTCAAATTTATAAATACATCTTTTATATCAATACTATTAGTTAGTTTTATTTAGAATGACACAAATTAATGTAATAGAGTTTCAAATTTATAAATACATCTTTTATATCAATATTATTGATCAGTCATCTTTGACTAGGGGTTGACATGTGTGTAGATTTATTGTCCAATAAGTTCTCGGTGACGAATCAGTAGTCCACACACACATATTAAATCTCACATGATTAATATATGTAACATATAATTTAATTAATGAATGTGATAAGAATGTAAATTAATAACTTCGTATCATGGCTTGCTGTTTGCAGATCAGTCTGCATTAAATATTTTATACATCGAATTTGTTATAAAAAATGATGATAAATAACACGATAATTTATTTATTTATTTATTTGATTTTGAATTAGCACAAACATGAATTAACTACAATTTCCAGGATCAAGATAGGCCAAAGAGACCATAAATTATCGGCCAACATAAGACAAGAAGCTTCTCCATCCTGGTTTCTGTTTGTTTAACTAAATTAATTAATCATATTAGTATTAATTAAAATTAGTTTTGTACGTTATTTATATTATAATAACAAATTAATTTAATATTTATTAAAACCGGTAAAATAGACGGTAAAACCAGTTGAACCAGATACCGTTGACTCATCCGGTATGATGACCGGTATGATATTTAAAACACTGTTTCCACATACAAGATAAATCTTTTTGTAAATTTTATTTAAGTCAGGACGTGTGTGAAGTAGATGTTAACATTCAATTCATGGTCGTACTTAAATTTATCACATATTCAAAATCTATGTGGAAAAACATACAAAAATTTAATATTTTAAGGTATCTTGTTTAATGTAGATTTTATGTTAATAGATTTATAGTTTAGTTTTATAATAAATCAAAAAATTATTTATTATATTTTAGCTTAAATAATTTTGTATTTTATAGATTTATATTTATTTTGTTAAATACTAATATCTAATTTATTAAAATTTTAATCTAAAACTGATAAATAAATTTTGAATTTTACGTATAAAGATAGATAATTACTTTTTTCATATGAATGTTAAAAAATAATAAAAATAAGATTAACTTGATATATGTTATATGATAAATAAAAATTATTAAATATTAGATAAATCAAATTTGATAATTTTTTTAAATTAATCATTTTTTTTATATGTAATAGATCAAATTATTCATCTTTCAGTGGTGTTCGATTTAATATCCGCAATGTATATATAAACAATATTTTAAAAATAAAATTAAAATAATCAATCAATCATAATTAATAAATAATAAAATCATTATTTATTAGTTTAAATAAATTTATCTATGATAATATATTACATAATATGAGCTAAAGAAATTATTATAATATAGGGCAGAGGAATCATGACGTGTGTTATTTAAAAAGAAATATTTATATAATTTTTTAAAAAGTATTTGAAAACTTAAATAAAAACTTCTGTTTTAATTATTTTAGCATAATATTTCTAATTAGTACTCCCTCCTGTTCAATATATTTGTCGTTTTAGCTTTGGTGAGTATTAAGTAAATAATTGTCGTTTTATAACTTTTAATCTTATTTTTCCAGTTTTACCCCATCCAACTACTACATTATGCCTCTTCGTATTCAGGCTTCACCTTTCCCCAAAACTCCATCTCTTTCCCATGGCAATCCGTATTTTTTTTAACTCACTTTATTTCTTTATATTCTTCTCAAATCCATCTTCGCAATCTGTGTGTGCCTTTTTGAATCCAATTTTTTCTAGTCCTGCTGATTCTTATTCCATTGTTCTCCCCTTTATTATTTTCTCTTTCAATTGATGGATTCGAAAGGTCATGAAGCTTCAAAATTATATCCGAAAACCCACTTTGCTAAATATGTTCAATCTCACCAGCCTCTTATGGATGAAGTTCTTCAACTGTTGGAGAAGACAAAGGCAAGTTTAGATGATGCTCATTCATTCGCTTTGCAAATTAGTGATTTGGCGGAGTTTCTTAAGGTGTATGTGTCCGATTCGGACGTTGAAGACGATCAATATTCTACAAGAGGTTCATCTGTTCTTTCTCAATTTTACTTATTTCAATTGATTTATTTGGTTTTGGAAAAAGATGCTAATCCTAGCTTGTTTAATTAAGCAGCATATCACCTCTTATGCGATGTTTTCTCCGTCTCCAGTTGATGCTGTATTTTTCATACTCTTGAAAAAACAAGAAAACCCCAATTATAAGAACTAAGCATAGATTTACCAGAGGTCCAGAATTAGAAAACTCCAATCAGGACAACATACTTTAATAAAGTATTTTTGAGCGGTATGAAGCCAGTCAGTAAGCTTATCAGAACGTTGTCTATCATCCCCAATACTGAATAGGTAATCCCAAGTGCACTCATCACCTTTCTGAACATCTTTTGTAGGCCAAAGGATTGAGTAACTGAAATATGTTTCATAGAGAGAGTAGTGTAACTTTTCACAGAATAAACAAATGAAATAGAAACTCTATCGCCTTGTAAGGATGCATATATCCCACCCAACATCCAATTTCCAAAAGTGACGAGGAACCATAATGGAATATGCTTGTGTTTTTTTCGATTATTTTGCTTTGTTTATTTCTCTTCCTTGGTATGTTGTCTTTTTGAATTATTTTCAAAGTCTTAACGTTTTTATTCTATTGATGATAGATTTTTTTTTGTTTTATGTGGTTATTGACTTAGTGACGGCGCAAACAGAAGTTCAAACTAAGGTTAATGCAGTTGGAACTAGTTTTTCAAAATTTAAAAGTGCAACAAAGGTTGATGAGAAGCTTGTTGTTGGGGAAGCAATATCTAACCCGAATGATCAAGTTGTGCACGAGATGCTAAAGATTTTTGTGCCACAGTTGTTTACTGAAAAGTAGATTAACAAGTTAAGAATATTACGAAGGGTACGGTCATAATTCGTTTTACAGACTATTTTATTGAGCCATCTTGTATTGATTGAGAAGTGGTTTGGTTTTATGTTTCCAGTGGTGAATTGTGATCTATGTTCTTATCATCATTTGATGTGAATGATCTTCAATGAGATATTTTTTAAATGTTTAAGCTCATTGTATTGCTCAATCTAAGGGAATCACTTTGTTGCGATACTTTGAGTGGCTTTTAGATGATGTTAATTGTTGCTTTCCAATTTCCACCCTTTACATTCACAAATAGGCCACTAATTCTACTTTTGTTTATATTTATAAAATTGCACCTCTAAAAACAGACATTGTATTCGTAAACCATTGGAAATTGCATATCCAATCATACCTCATGGATGAATTTGCAATTTCAAATGTTAGTCAAGTCATTCTGTTCTAATACAATCTTATGTTATTTGTTTGGATATTACTTGAGAAGTAAGGAGCAGAACATCTTTTGGTTAATCTGTCCAATTTGTTCTTCTGTTTTCTGTGCTATTTAAAGTGGATTACAGTTCATTTGGTGTTTTTTGATGAGTAGTGATCAATTTGACTCCTCAGTATTAAGGATTACAATTTTTCTCGTTTTGGTTTTAGTCAGTTCAATGTGCTTTCAGTTTTCGAAGTATGCTATGTAGATTGGTGAAATCTGTGATTGTGATAACAATTTATAACGCAATTTGGTTTTATTTCTATTGAATAGCTAAAGTTGATTCATTTTTGGTTCCTGATTGAATTATATTTCCATTTTATTTTTGGTTCCGGTCATTTAAGCATCATTTTCATGTCCCAACTTCGAGAACCCGTCGGCCCTCGTTAGGCCTACCGAAATTTAATGGGAGTGCTTTCTAGAAAGTACGAGAAGAGTAGAAGCCGTTCGTGGTGTTTATTTTGCAATTCGAGGTCCCGACCATATATTTTGAGAAGCTCGAGTTGGAGTGCACAAATTAGAAAATTAAATAAAAAGCCGTTTACGTCCGCCCCGCAAGGTCGCGTGAGATTTCGGTTTGCTGAAAAACGAGTTGGGACGTGCAGACCTTATTGGCACGATGCTATTCGAGCCATTTATTGAGTGTTTCGGAGCTCCGAGCATTTGTTTAGAGGAACCTGAAGTTGATGTATAAATATTAAAAATAAGCGAATTGTCGAGGACGAGTTCGATCGTTCGAGGCTTCATTTTTCTCGATTCTTTCAGTTTCTCGTCTATTCGAGAGGAGGTATAAATCTGGACTATCCTTTTTAATTAATTTCGAGCATAGTTTGAAGGTAAAAATCGGGCATCCCTTATTCGGATTCTAGTTTCGCCACTGCTCACACAGCATTTGCATTCGCATGATAATGATCCAAAAACGAAACACAAGCACCATTCATTAGCTTAAGTGACAACACAAAATAATAATAATAAAAAAAAAATGCAAAATCTAGAAACTTCAGCATAACCCATAATTGGTGAACTTCACCATAAACCACAAAACTTAGAGAAAAAAAAAAGCTGGAAACTTCAACATAAAACACAGGAACTGAAACTAAATGCCACTTATTGTCACTTGAATAGGCATAAGCTAACTAAGCGCTCAATAAAGCACTCTCCAAACATGACTAAAGTTCTTCCGATCCACCTTCAATCGAACTGTTCCCTGAAACAAAATGACAACATTATCAATAATAGTGAATATATGAAGAGGAGAAGCAAATGTCAACATTGACTTACCTAGTCGTGTTGCTAACAAATCTTTAGTCGCTTGCACTAAGGTAGACTCGCATGAAATTTGTGTAGGAAGCTGACCTAGTCTTTGAAGCCGTTTTTTGTTTATGTGAGGGATTTTATATCGATTTCCTCCTCCTAATTTCATGATTTCTTTCATGCATAATTGTAACGTCAACCACACGTAATTGAGCTTGATGGGTGAATAGTCAGAGAATGCCTTCTCTACCGCACTTACAAGCTCAGGGATATTCTTTGCACACATTTTTTGTTGTAGTGACTGTATGGCCCTAAAATACCCAAGGTCGAGTATATTCAAATCTGGAGAATTAGGAGGTTGGCAAGTTAATCGAATGTCGAAGCCATTTTGTGAAGCTGCTGCTACAAAATCAGGGTCGTTAGGAGGAACGTGTGTCCTAGCATTGTCCTGTTGGACATAAATAGTTTCACCATAATCGGAGCTAGGCCATTTCTCCATAATAGCTGGGATAACCTTTTCAATCAAAAACATTTTCACATTCTCTCTTTTAACAGATGTGATTGCCTTCATCTCCATCGTGCCAGCTTGTCTATTCTTGCTATTTCTCTGGGCTGGTTGCTCTGTCACAAACGCCCAACATCCAACTTTGCCCGAAAATACCACCCTCCCTTCACCATCAAATCTGGGACGAGCAGTGGCTGCTAGAAACATGACTTTTGCAATGTTATTTTTACTTTGACATGTACGGTGAGGATCTTCTTCATCATTCAGTAGGTAATAGGTTTGCTCTTTTTTTGTCAAGTAAAACCATTTCTCGTCTATATGTACATAGTTATACATTCCCTTAAACTTTGGCTCGTTCGGCGTTGTGCTTTCATCAAGCATCGATAAACAAAACTCTAGTCGCGATGTTTTATTTTCTTCTTTCAAATGTGGTTTGATGGCACTTGAGTGACGACGTAGAACACCTCGCTTAAAAAGGCGATACAATTTGGAATAACTAACACCTAAAGCATTAGAAAGAGATGTAAGTGTTGTTCGTTGATGCCACTCTATCTGCTGAATTCTACTTAAATCTACTTCAATCCGTTTACGACCACAGTTCCGTGCTTTCCTCGAAGAAACATCCACATCTGAGCCGGGTGAAGTACTTTTGTGAATTTTCCATATTCTTTGAACAGTTCGCAGCTCCGGAATATTGAACATATCCTTCACTTCTTTTGTTGTGTTCTTTTTTAATTTACCATTTACACTTTTCTCCAATAAAGCATGGTAAATTGCCCACCGTTCAACGTCAGTTAGGATCCTGTTCTTTCTCCCTTGAACATTTCCTATTAAAATAGTGATAACCAAATTAATATAGAGAACCAAGCAATGAAACTAGATATACCATGCAGTCAATTAGAGTATTGTTTACTCACATGGAAGTGAAGTAACGAATTTTTTTTTGTACTAAATTTTAGCAAGTGAAGTAACAAAATAGAGTAACTAAATTTTTCTGTACTCACATGGAACATTGCAGTCAGTTAGGAGTATTGTTTACAGTTCGAAAGTGAATAAAATAGAAAATGTAAATTTAATTAAAGTAGAGTTTGTAAGATCATTGTATGATCAGAGTTGGCTTGTCTGTTGATGACTTTGGCTTGACTAGTCAGTTTCCTACCAGAGTGTTCTATAAAATTAAAAATGGAAATTTTGATTCATTTTAACAATTCCACTTATAAGGCTATGTTATTATGTGTACGGATTACATAATATGACTGCATGCCTAGTGTGTTTGAATTATTTACATTAAGTCATAAGAATGGACATGAAAAAAGATTGTAAATTTAGTTACTTAACATCAAACTAATTGTTTCTATCTTGTAAGATCTCACACTCTTTTTTATTTAACTTTTCTTGCAATTTCAAATGGAAACACATAACTAGATTGGAGACAACAACTCAACGTAACAAAAAAAAGCAAACTAAGAAGAATAACAATCATATTATGCAACACAAACAACCTTTTGCACGAAAAATTATACCAATGGCTTCATTTACCAATAACATTTTGATTTAAACATTTCCTCAAATGGCTTCAAACATTTTGATTTAAGTATACCAATAACAATCTTTTGCATGAAAAATTTACCATAATGCAGCAGAAACTGAGCAATCATGGAATATTTGATATCAATAATAACCTTATGGTAATTTGGAGAAAATAACAATATCAACCAAGCAGAAAAAAGTTGATATCAATAAAACTCACCTTGGCTTGTTTCCCTTGTTTCACCATTGCGGCCGTCAAACTCGTTGAAAATCTCTTGTCCACCCGATATTACGTGTCCTTGAACTACACCTTCTCTATTTCCTTCTCCACCATTGGCTTGTTGGCTAACTATCTCTTCCACGGATGATTCGGACCTCGCTTCGTCATCATCTTCGAAAATCTGATTTAAATCGAGCTCGATAACGTGGTATCCAATTTCCGGTCTTTCGTCGGCATTTAGCTCGACTATAATGTTTTGTGAAGATATCGAGACATCATTTTCTACGTCATAAGGAGGTTCATTCAAATCGATCGAAATGTTTGAAGCCATTACAAATTTTTATTGGTATAATGAACCTATCCATATTTATAGTCATTTTTAGGTGCTGCTCACAAAATTTGAAATGTTGAAGGTGAATTTTGAGTTTACCTCCTTATCAAAAATTTGGCTCCAAATATGTAAGTCATTGAAGNACTCAGTCCAAAGCTCAGAACCGGCTCGCGTCCGCGGCATTGGCGCGGAAAAAGATACGGCGGATTTCGTACCGGTGGTGGTGGTGGTGTGTGTGTGTTTTAGTTTTGTGTGTGCGCGGGGACGGAGGGATTCTAGCGATGGCGGCGTCGTCGGCGGTTTGCTCATGGCTGATGGCCGCATGCATGTCCGTCGCTTGCGAGAACGATTCCGGCGTCTCCATGCTGCACCCGAGGAGGGCGGCGGCGTCGTTCGATCCGTCGCGCCTCAGCAGGTGGGCGGCCCGACGCCGGAGGACGGTCCTAGCGAAATGCGCCCCCCGCCTGTGCGGCATTCGGAATCTCGTGAATTCGTGCTTCGCGTTCGAGCCCTGCGACGACTTCTGCAGGTCTTCGCTCACCGCCGACGGGTTCTTCGGGTTAGGATCGAGGAACTCTCCGGTGCACCGCAGGCGGAGGAAGCTTCTTCGCCCTTCGGCGCATTCCGGTGCGTCTGTCCTTCTGTACTCGCGTTCGATTTGGGGGTCGGAGTGGGTTGTCTATTTTGTTAAACTATTTTTATCGCTGATTTTGTTATTGATTATTTTTAGTATCTTGGTGCGTGGCTTCAACTGAATTTGTATATTATATTTCTCGCTAACGGCTGACCTTCAAAATGATTGTCAGATGGTTGAATTTAGGTTTTCAATATTGGGGTTCGATATTCAGTGAATTAGTTTAATAGTTTCCTCCCTCCCCCTTGGGTATCATTGAATGGGTTTAACAAAATTAGAAGTTCAATTTTGTGTTTGCTTGAGAGGATACTTGGTAGCTTTGTGCTGTATTTTGTTTATAGTGTATGCACGAATCCTTGATCAAGTTTCATATGCTTGAGGCTAACCAAGGTACAGTTGTTGCATTAACTATACTCACTGTTGTGTTACTACTCTTGAACACAAAAAATTGTGCACCTACTTTCCACTTTTAATGTGGTGGTTGTGGTTGGATTTAGTTAGGTTAGCCAATCTTAATGGTTGGCAATCCGTTTATTTATTTCTTATTATCCAATGTAGATATTATTTGCAATAGCAGTGTTGGATTAGCAGGCAGTTCATATAATTGTGACCTTATTATTAGCTTTTGGCAATTTCTAATATAAGAAATTCTCCAACCCCATGGGAACCATCTCATTGTAGGTGAATCCTTTTTGGCGAATCTATAGTGCAACAATTTTTTTTTTTTTTTTTCTGCACATTTAATGCATCATGATGCATTAGTGTAATTTTTTCCCTGGACCATAAATGAATGTATTATTAATTTCCATGTTTTTTCATGTGAACTAAAGGGGAAGCAATGGCTGTAGCTGTTAATTCGGATATGGAAGTTGCATCCAAGAAAAAACCTCAAACAAAGCAAAGGAGAGTGGTTGTGACGGGTATGGGTGTGGAAACACCAGTTGGTCATTATCCAGATGTCTTCTATAATAACCTGCTGGAAGGAGTCAGTGGCATTAGTGAGATTGAGGCTTTCGATTGTTCACAATTTCCAACTGTATGTCTTGTTTGTCATTTTCATCTCAATTTTTTAAGTGGTTCCTCTGAATTTACTGCTGTAAGGATTTTGACCACAGAGAATTGCTGGAGAGATCAAATCATTCTCGACAGATGGCTGGGTTGCTCCTAAACTTTCTAAGAGAATGGACAAATTCATGCTTTACATGTTGACCGCGGGTAAGAAGGCTTTGGCAGATGCAGGAATTACTGAAGATGTGATGGATGAATTAGATAAAAGAAGATGCGGCGTATTAATTGGCTCTGCTATGGGTGGGATGAAAGTAAGTTTAATTTGTCCTTTGCACAATGATGGAAGAAGGTGGTGTAGGTGGCTTAGTGCTAACTGACCAAAGAAACAGAGTTGTCTAGATGTTCATACTGTTTTACTTTGGAGTTCTAACTCTTTCAGCCAGCATGTACATATTTATTGAGCTTGTTGGACCCCTTTTTTGCACATTATTCTAAAGATCAAATTGAGATGACATGTTACATAACTTGATATAAAACCTTAGTGAGTCTTGTAACTTCAGAGCTAGGTAGAGCCTACCTCATACAACCCTAAATTTTTGAAACAGAATAGCTCTAGTTAACAGTTTTCCGATATTTTCCATTAATTTATCTTGGTATACAGTTTACTCCCCTCGATTAAGATGGTTTGGGCATGCGCGTAGGAGAGACTTCGAGGCACGGGTGAGAAGGGTAGAAACTGAAACATTAGATTTAAGAATGCATGCAACTTAAAAGGGAGAGGGGTAGACCGAAAAAAACTGGGAAGGAGACAATAAAAAATGATTTAAAATATTTAAATTTGAATGAGGATATGTGCTTTGATCGAGCACGATGGCGACATGTAATCCATATAGCCAACCCCACTTAGTGAGATTTTAACGGCTTGTTGATGTATTAATTGATACAGTTTACCCCCTCTCAGTTGATTTACTATCTGGACAGGTTTTTAACGATGCAATTGAAGCATTACGGATCTCATATAGGAAGATGAATCCATTTTGTGTACCATTTGCAACTACAAACATGGGTTCTGCCATTCTTGCCATGGATCTGGTTAAAGAAATTCCTTGATTAATCTATTGCAAGTTGATTGCTGCATAATGCATTGTAATCATGCTAAGCATAATTATTGCAGGGATGGATGGGGCCAAACTACTCAATATCCACTGCTTGTGCGACAGGCAACTTCTGTATACTGAATGCTGCTAACCACATCATTAGAGGTGAAGCAGTAAGTCACTTTCCTTCTTCCAATATACAGTTCACTTCCTCTTTTCCTTGTGGGTTCTATTCCATATTCATTGGTGTATAAACTTTGAAAATGTCCAAAGATATACCATCCTGTTTTACCTTCTCATAAACTGATGCTTATATTTCAGGACATGATGCTTTGTGGTGGCTCTGATGCGGCAATCATTCCAATTGGTAACATTCTTTTTCTTGCTCACATATATTCAGTTTCAATGCAGTATTCCACATCATAAACTTTGTTGCAGGATTGGGAGGTTTTGTTGCTTGCCGAGCATTGTCACAGAGAAACAGCGATCCTACTAAAGCATCACGTCCCTGGGATAGTGTAATGTTCTGTTTTAGTTAACCTTTAACTATAGGTGCAGTGACTTGATGGAAATATAATTTGGTAATGATAATTATAATATTATCTGATCAGTATTCATTATTTTATTGTCACGAACAATGTCCCATATATGCAGTGTTATTGTTATATTTGAAGAATATATGGTACAAAGGTGAAACAATCATTTTCTTCCACCTTATACCTGCATCTAGTCATCGTCTCTCTGATTTGTTGCCCAAAAAACTTATGATCTGTCTGCAGTAGCCATAGAAAATTATTAAGAACTTCATCCGTCACAAGTATCTTCATAATCATGTATTATGTAGGGCAGATAATGTTTTGCCGCATGATTGTTGCGGAAAAAACAACATGGTGGACTTCAAGTATCACTTTCCCTGTAACTTAATTTCTGATCTTTGACAGAATCGTGATGGATTTGTTATGGGAGAAGGGTCTGGAGTATTGCTATTGGAAGAACTTGAACATGCGAAGGTATCATGAAACTTTTATTGGTTCCAGATTCAATGTATTTGTTATGTTTGCGGAGGATTTCCTGTTGACTATTTATTCTTATGAACCAAATTCCATATCATTTGTGGATGACCAGAATAGAGGTGCAACTATTTATGCTGAGTTTCTTGGTGGAAGCTTCACTTGTGATGCGTATCACATGACAGAGCCTCATCCACAAGGTATCTGTCCCTCCTTTTATTTAGCCTAGAGAGTAGCACAAGATTGCTGTTGTATGTATGATCGTAATTAAAAAGTAATGAACTCAAGAACAGTCTCAATATGGACTATGGTTCACATAACCCATTGCTTATTATGAAGTTGGTTGTCCATTTATCAGATGACTTTTTTAGCATCAGAAATCCATAACTACTGTGTGAATATGGTCCAGAATTATGTGATCTTCACTACACCAGTACATTTTTAATAACGGAAACCTTACTTTTGGTTTTTATTGTTAAATTGGCCCTTCAACCCAAGACCCCTTGAGATTTACAAATTTATTTAAGAATTGTTAAAGGATTTGGTGTTGAACTATTCAAAGTTGATGATGAATAGTGATTAATTCTTTGGACATTGACTAAATGGATTGACCCCCGACTTTTTTGACATTTTACATGGGTTGTACAATTATTCATATGTATATGTATGGAAACGACCAATTTTCTGACATCAGACAGCAGATGTTTATGTATTGGTAACATATGAGCCCACATGCTCCCTTTGAGGACAAACTGGCAACTTTGGTCAGATAATTCTATGGCCTAATCGGCAGTTCCGCGTTTAGAATTGCTTTTTCTTCCAGTTGTTTATAGTTTCGTTTGTATGCTCTTGATCAAGTTTAACTTATGCTGTATTTTCAAAGCTGCATAAAATTTTGGAACCTCATATGTGCTGCCATTTTTTGTACTCATGGTTTGGCAATCTTCAAACAGGAACTGGCGTCATTTTGTGCGTAGAGAAGGCTCTAGCTCAGTCAGGAGTATCTAAGGAAGATGTGAACTACATCAATGCGCATGCAACATCTACTCCAGCAGGTGACCTTAAGGAGTATCAGGCTCTTCTTCATTGTTTCGGGCAGAACCCAGAGGTTTCTACATAAACTCCAGTTCTCTTTTATACTCTGTGTATTATGAATTATTGCAAAGGTTTTATGTGATTTTTGGAAAATCCTGGCATTTTGCAGTTAAGGGTGAACTCAACAAAATCTATGATCGGGCACCTACTTGGAGCAGCTGGCGCTGTGGAGGCTGTTGCAACTGTGCAGGTACTTACATTTTTAACTTATTAGTGGTTATTAAGAAAGTTAAGTGTGCCTACTTAGTCTGTATTTTGGTGAGCTTACAAATAAGCTTCTCAAACATCATATTTAGTACTGATACTGAATGATTGTAGTTTGTCCAAAATATTTTGCTTAACTTTGTGAAAAGGCTCAAAGTTAAGACATGGCATTTTATAAGCTGCTCCATAAAGATTCTAAAAAAGAATTAACACCTGCTCAAGTCATCTAGTGCATGATTCAAGGGCAGCTCAGGATGTTTTGCGAGAAACTTATTTTATGTGTAAATATACTCTACCAGTGGACGGTCTTGTAGTGCTTGGTTTGTTTTAGTGCATTAATATGCTTGTATTCCCCCTTGGTTAAATAAAACTGAACCTAGAGACCCCCTATTTCTCCTAAGTGAACCTGTTGCTTTTTGGAGTATGTGAATTTCATGACGCTTGAACTTACCTGTATGACGTCTAATACTACCCATGGAAACCCACATTTTTCGTTCTTTTTCGTTGAGGTGTTGAAAAAAACCTTGTGATACTTGCATCCTCGAGTTATTGAGATACGAGCACCATTTTGTTGATTGGTCCGAAATCATTTACCTGTCTGCAATATTGGCTTACGTTCAAGACCTACTATGTTACGACCCTCGAATTCTAGGTGCTTTTCGTTACAAATTTTCATAACACAGACCTATTAAGTTCTGTGATGACGTTTTCCACCATTTTTTTCTTACCCGCTTGAAGTTCAGACACATGGTTGGTGTTTGTACATGATCTTTGATGATACAGAGCACTAAAACCCTTGATCCAAAATTAAAGAAGCTGAAAACCGATTTAAGGATTCTTGTTGTGAATGCATTATCAATTCTTGTTGTTAAACTGGACTCTTGTGTTCCTTTAGGCGATCAAGACTGGCTGGGTTCATCCGAATGTCAATCTTGAAAATCCAGATGATGGCGTGGTATGGTTTTTACCCAATCCCATTCTGTCTATTAATATATGGCTTGCTTACGGGTGAGGTATTGTCATTACTTGCATAGGAAGGTCAGGCTATAATATTCATCAGCTATGAAGAGAAGCTGCTTAAACGTTTTCTTTAACTGAATCGATTAAGCGTCTACACGTGCTTATTAAATCTGGCCTGGGAACATGTTTGCTAGATGGGTTCACAAACGAACCAGAATGTGCTTGTGGTTGTTTTGCCAGTCCTGACACCATATTTTGTTCACGGGATTTCAAATTATTGCTCCGAACTTTAACTTAATAAAAAATATCCATGTATCTTTTCAATTGAAATTACCTCCTTGAGGTTTGTTGTCTGCCTACAAGTTGAAGTCACCCCCACAAAGCAATCAAAACGCAAAACATGTGAAGGATATTTTTTTGAAAAAAAAAAAAGAATGAGAATCAAATGTTTATTGCATCCTGGTTAAACATCAAGAATAGTATTTGCAATTATTCCATTTTTTTATTAAAAAATATGCACGATTATTTATTTTACTGATGATCACATTTTGATTCAGGATGTGTCCGTGCTGGTGGGACCAACAAAAGAAAGACTGGACATCAAGGTGGCGTTATCTAATTCGTTTGGTTTTGGTGGCCACAACTCGTCAATTTTATTTGCTCCGTACAAGTAGACTTATAGGGGTGGTTGAAGTGGAGGAATGTATGACATAGAGGTGTCGAAAGGGTGTTCATATTGACCCAAGCTTTTTAGTTGGAGAAAAAAGACGGTCAGAATCAACTACTGAAAAGGCAACTGGTAGCCAATTTCTTATTCACTGAATGAATGACTAAGAACTGAGGAATCATTTTGTTTGTAGTTAGTATCTTATGGAGATCAATTTTATGCCATGTATATTTGTACTGGAGAAGAGCAACTTACTTTTTGTGTCTATTGTGGGCCAAAGAAAGGAAAGGTTTAGGGGTGTTAGTTGGTCTTTTAGCTGCCTTCTCACATAATCGGAAGTGTGTGTGTTGCATGTGACGATTGCTCGGACAAAAACTCGAGAGAGGTGCTCTTGAATTTGAATATTTTGACTCTTTTGCGACGTGATACACTTTTTGTAGCGCTCTCTTTTTGACAGCTTTGTTGTAGATCTAGCATGATCTTTTTTTTTTTTTTGTAAACAATGGTATTTGCCTTTTGACTTGAAATTAGCTGATTTGGGACTAGTGAAAACTATGATTCTTCATGTGAAGATAATTGTGAAGCTTTTTATAATCCTTGTTATATATGGTCTTGAATTTCATTACTACACACGAAATGTATGAATGGTGTTTTTATATGTGGTATGTGGAAAATGAAATGGCCCCTCCATTACACAGAGGCTCTTTTAAAGGTTCATTGAACAAAAGCTCCACTGAAGAATGTAAGTTCAATAGATATTGGATAAAGGGCAATTGTTCCAATTTTATAATTAAGAAATCGCTTTGTTTCCAGCATATTGCAACTATTTAGTTGAACTATTTTAATTTTATCTTTTAATTTCATGGATAAAAACAAAATTATCATGACGAATTCTCGGTACTATCTATTTATTTGTCTACAAGAACTCAAAAAATGTCATCACCTGGCAAAGATCAGAAAGAACTGATTTACAAAATTAATTTTTTTTAATGAAAAAAAAAATGTCTGAGCCCGGGTTCGAACCGGGGACCTCTAGTGTGTGAGACTAGCGTGATAACCGACTACACCACCCAGACAAATCCCTTTTATGCATATTTTACAGTAAAGCGTAATAACACACATCTTTTAAGGACTTCGATTACCGACGCAGGTAAAACCAGAACCAAATTAATCTGATTATTTCATTAGTTAAAGTTTGTTTATATATAATGAATCAATATTCCCATTTTAAATTATTACGTTATCACATGAATACCGACTATGGGATTATTAGAAATTTCATAAATTTGAGAGAGGTTATGATTTTGTATTAAAATAATATTTAAAATAAAATAATTATAGTTAATTTAATTTAAAAGTAGGAGAAAAGTGATTGAAAATGATTGCTAATTAAAATTATGTGAGTGAATAAATAGTGAATTAAAGTTATGCGATGTATGAGGATGATTGAATGATGTTGTTTAATTATTTTAATAATATTGAAGAGAGTGGAGATAGTTAAATTTGAGTTAGCTATTGAATTAAAAAAAATTAATTGATTATAAGTGATTGAATATTTAGATACAAATCTATATCCATGCATTCCCATATGAATTAATATAATGACATTAGTTCTAAATATTTATTTTAAAATAATGGCAATTTATTACTGTGAAATTGTGGATTATTCCATAAATAATGGCAATTTATTGTTCCCGCATATTTGGTTTCAGAGCCATCTCTTGTACATGGTGAACATGAGTTAATATGTTCACAAACAAATGTGATAGTGAATTAACATTTCATATACAGTTTGCATATGACCACATGTTTAGGTTCCTTCTCCGGATGTCCTCCCACTAGATTCGACTTATGTCCGTCTTTTAATTCTAATTATGTGTTGTAGTTATCAAATTTCTATCGTTTCGAAAAAAGAATGCAGTGCTATCCCCATTTTTTAACACCCATATAATGTACACCAAAATGGAAAATCTTTTTGGCATTTATTGCAGGATAACAATTAACATGATTGAAATTTGAATCAATACAACAAAAAATATCATCCAACCAACCAAAATAAGAGAAAAAAAAAAGTTATTTACAATCTTATGATGAAGTCATAAATCACTCCTCTTGGGGAGTTGGGACTGCCTACAGTCTACACCGACCCTACGTAACCAATCACCTCACTCCACCACCCACCACCGCACCCGCGGCGGACATCCGGCGCCGGCTGTCCCACAGCCGCACCACATTCCCATCCAGAACATTCAGATCCTGCCACCGGTACCACCCCATGTCCCCCATCCTCACCCCCACCATCGTCCTCTCCCAACCGCCGCACTCCCGCCGCGATTCCGCCGCCGCCGCCAACACTTCATCACAGCCGCCGCCGTCGATTTCCCCCAAATCATCCTCGTAGTACGCGCTGAACTTCCCTTTTGGACTGCATTCGCTCTCCACTGCGCAGCAGGACGCCGGAACCAAATCCTCGGCCGGCGAATCCGCCACCACCGCCACCGCCGCCGCCGCAGACTTTTCCGGCTGCTTTAACAGAGCAATTCCGTCTCCCCTGCGCGGCGGCGGCGACGACGAACCCCTGATCCTCCAGAATCCGACGGCGGCGGTTATCACTGCCAGCCACGCCCAAATGCTGTTGGCCACCGCCAGCCAGCCGTGGCTAAGGTAGTCAACGGCGAGGGCTTCAATCGGCGAATTCAGCGCGTCCATCCCACTCTCTCTCTCTCTCTCTCTCTGTGTGTTTTATATTTCTGATATTTGGCTCTGTTTGTCTGTGTAGAAAAAGCAGAGTGTGGAAGTTATATGAAGGGCGAAGATGGAAAATCTGGGCCGCACGATTGGATGGCGGGAAAGGATCTGAGAGTAGATGCCGAGGATCGATAAAGGGAGATGCTATTTGACAAGGTAGATCCATTTTTTCATATCCGAATATCTTTTGTTTGTTTTTTGGGCCAAGTGGATATGGATGGACACGTGTAAGGTAGATAGTGGCGGTCGTTTCTGGACACGAGCTATATGGTGACCACAAGATATTTTCCAATTTTTTTTAATAATAAGTTGGCGTGGCCTGTGTGGTCGGTAATTGGTATAACTTATTCGGACCAATTAACCTTTTTGATTTTTATATATATAATATAAATTGGTTGGGATTGGATATAAATTTTTTTTCAAAAATTTTGTGTTGTTGAAAAACTGTGATAGAAAATGAAAAAAAAAAGTTTAAAACTAATGTGATATGAAAATAATAAAATATTTAACCGGAATGATTAAGTTTTTTTTATGTTAATGGAGGTATAGTAGTTTATTTTTTTAAATATAGCATAAAATAACGATTTTAAACGCTTGTATGGATACTCTGAGTTCTAAATAAAATATGAAAATAAACTAATATGAACTCGAGTTCTTAATACTCGAGTTTGTGCTCGAGCTTTTATCGAGGCAAGCAAAATCCGCTTGTTAACAAAATAAGCCGATAATTGAGCTCGAATTTGACTCATTTGTCAATATTTTTAATGAACTAAATTATAACAAATTTTTTATTTTTTGAACCTGAATGAGCCTTCGACTAAACTCGTTAACTAAAGAGTCGACTCCAACTCGAGCCTTAATAAACATTGATATTTGAAAATCAGTTAAAAAATAAAATAAAATAAAATAAACTTACGTGTGGATGACACAGACATTAAGCGTAAAATAGGGGCAAATCTGTAAAATACATATAGTGGCTTAGTAACGGAGTAAAAATGGATAAATCCATTTAAAGTTTCAAGTTCCGCCTTAAAAACCCTGAAAACTGACTCCTAATTCCTCACAATCCCCCAAAAAAATTCTTCTCTCCAAGTATCCATCAAACAATCGGAGTAAAAATGGACAAAGTGCAGAAAGCGTACCGCAGCTCAGCGCCACAGACGCCGGCAACGACTGCAAATACCAGCTTGTTAGCTTCTTCCGTTGAGAAAACCAGCTCAGCTTCTCCTTCTTCACCCAGAATCGCGCTGTCGTTTTCGATCGTACCGGACGAGCCTCGCTGGGTGATGTCCCGACCTCCAGGGTACGAAAACCCTCATTTACCCTTTCGTCTACTGCTTTTTACTTCCATGTGCCATCGGAAATGGCCACTGATTCAGTAGGTGACGTGTGATTATGTGATTTTTTTTTTTTTTGGCTATTGATTTCAGTTTTGTTCTACCTGAGTAAGAACATTTTCTATTTTCCTTTTGCTGTTGAGATAGTTTTGATGTGCAGTTTAATGGATTGGTTGTTGAAGTTAAACATTGTCTGGAGTGCTTGGTTTGTGTTTTGCTTTCATTTGGATTTTGTAGCTCGGTAACTAATTTAAGGTTTGGGTGATTGTAATAGTTTTTGCTGATAATTGAAAAATTGGATTTATCTAGACATTGTGGCCTCGAAATTCTTCGAGGACCCTTAGATTTGGCGGGCAAAGAACTGGAAAGAAACTGTAGAACTGATAGGCTATACTTCTGATTTAGTGTCATTTCAAACAGTAGTTTCATTGGAAAGACAATGTGAGTTGCCAAATTTTTCGAGGTCTCTTGGATTTGGCGGGTGAAAATTTGGAAAGAAAATGTAGAATTGATAAGCTATTAAACATGTCAAGTTGACGAGATACAACTTGGTATACTACTCTTACGTTTTAGTCACAGTTCAACCTGTAATTTTCCTTGTTGGGTTTCTTTTCCTATGAAATGGAATTTTTTTTGGTGAATTAATCGGCCTATTTTCAAAGATATTCTGTAGTGGTAAAACTAAGTCTTAAAAGAAAAAAATGAAAATATGGAAAGGAAATGTATTGGAGGTGTGTCTCGCAGTGCTCGGAGTCTCTAGTAACACTGTTAGGGGATTGATTTTACATTCAAATCTTCATTACTTCCTATTATAATGCGACTAATTAGTGACTAAATTAGTCAGTGGTGGTTTGGATTTTGTCAGTATTAAATCAATATTATCAATATTAATACGGTCTCTTTTGTGCTTTGCTAGAATATAATGCAGTGATATCTTTTGATTATATTTCATTGTTATCGAAAACTGACTCTTGAAACTTGAAAGGGTAGAGGAGAAGAAGTTTGAATTGTGTACCGTGCTATTAATATTTGAATAGTTAAAGCATCTCTTGGAGACATACAGAAACATGAGAAAATAGGACGGTTTCTCTATCTATTGTGTTTTGGTGAAACCAAAGCAGAGGTAAACAATTCGATGAAAAAACATCTGAATATGGATATCTTTTGGCGCAGACATTTCGTACCACTATGGACCTTCTCAAAGCTTGACATCGCTTGTTTTGCTGCTGGCATTGCCCTGACGGAATGTTTGCTTCGCTGGGCACCAAAAGTTGTCAAGGGGTCGAAGGATGACTAAATTGTTACATGTGTGGATGCTGTGGTTATTTTTTGTTCAGGTACTGACATCGAGAAATTTTATATGAAGTTTGAACATTAAATATTTCGGGTATGTACCTGGTGGTTGTATATGCTCTCATATTTGAGTTGTAGCTGAGTAACAAGTCTTGATGAATATGGTACCTTATGTTTTTACTAATCGAAGTGTAGTAATGTCAATGACCCCAACTTGATATGTTTCGATCATTTTGTTGTCCACTGCCTTTTCTTCCATTCAATGAGAGAAACAAATTGCTGTTGCATATACACAGATACAATTTCTTGTGTGTATCTGTTTCATTTGTTCCTTTTATTTAATTACATTAAAAAATGTTATACCTTTTCTTTCCCCTCTTCTTTAAATACCCACTTCCACAATTGACATCCTTCTTCCAGAAGAAACCTAACAATTTGGACCATTTGGCTGTGCTGCTAGCAAGAATTTTTTATGCACGTAGATATTTCTTTCTTAAATAGAAGTATTAAATCTTCTTATACACGAATAAGTACAAATAGATGTGTGTGGTTAGCTCCTCATCTTTCTTCTTCTTTAGAAGTATTCCTTGTGAAATTCAAACCGTGTTGATGTCTTGTAAGTCAGTTCTTGTGACAGCTTTTTCAGCTCCTTTGCTAAGTTAGGCGCTCCACAGTAGAAAACACCTGCACATTTATGAGTTCACTGTATATTATGACAAAACTCTGCTTAGTCATGTAAATTATTTATATGTTTGATCAATTATTGTATAATTTGGCATCTAGTAAGTGTGAGCAACATTGCGGATAAAATCAAAAAGCTCAAACCGAATTACACGCAACATAGATAAACCGAACTGACAATTTTTTACACTGAAGAAAACCGCACTGTTAGGCTCGCTTTCTGGTTATTCTATGCATTTGAGTCCGGTTTGTGCAAAACTACACCACCTAACTAGTGAAAAAAATAATTGAACCGCACCGCAACACATAAAACACAGAACCAAAACACAACCGAAAATTTGTATACTAAAATTGCAGAACCGAGTTGCATGGTTTGGATCGGTTTTTGCTCAACCCTAGCAACTTGTGAACTGGAACAACTTGACGTAAAGGCTTGGGTTAGAAGAGTCCAGATAAAATAAAAATCTGGTCAGAAATCTGTTTTACCTACTGTACAGCAGGGATGCTTCACTGCTATTTTGCTGAAAACTTCTCTCCAATCTGGCCTTGCAAAATGTGTCCTCACCTGAAATGGAAAATGTGACATTTGTTTTTTAGGTCCTAAATTCAAAGTCTTTTACTCCATAACCTTTACATTCTATATCCAAATGTTATTGTTATATCGTAGGGTCGAAATCTTACTCGCGTGCCAGATAGGATATCAACTCCATGCTTAGCATGGTTTAGAGCCTGTACCATTGTGATCAGAGTCGACCTTGCATCACCCTCTTCATACACAGTTGTTAGGTAATTGTGCATCTCGATTTGGCCCTATTCCACGTCGAGCACAAATGAATCCTTCTACACTTGGGTTATTTTCTAAAACAAAGGATTTGTTTGGCGTGAAAAAACGTTACCTTGAGATCCATCTCTGCCACCTCATTCATTACTCCTTTAAACCACTCGAAGGACCCTGGTTCTCTGGTCACCCAGTAGAAATGCGCACTCCTAGTTTTATGTGATTTCTTCTTGCTGCTTGATGTGTCACATGAAGAGGTTATGCTATTTGAGCTGTTTTCTGATCGGCTGGTATCTGTGTTGGAGTCCTAAATCACCAATAGTAAGTAAAGTTCAGGTTCGACTGCATTGCTCTGTAAGCGCAATGAAATTACCGCAAGATGATTATTAGGTCAATGTCTTGCCGAACCCTTACCATTAGATCTTCTTGTTTTGTATTGTTCAAGAGATCCTTGAGGATACTAATGAAAGGAGTGGCTCCAATTCCAAGTCCTACGAGAAGTAACACGTCGTAGTTTTGGTAGTCTTGTGCAGGTGCTCCATAGGGTCCATCGACAAGCAATTTAGGTAAACTGCAAAAAAAAAGGTTTCATTTTCTCAGGCTTCCTAAAGAACTCTTCTTTACTTCACTTAAATCTACCCAGTCAGAATTACCCTGTTTGGTTAACGTTGCCTTTCGCCCCAAATTTAGCCCGACCAATCACACATGTCGAGCTATTATCTTCTGTGAAAACACTCTTTAGCTCTTGTGTCCAGTCACCTACTGTCCGAATGTGAACGCTTAGGTAATCATCTCCTGGTGCTGAAGTTAGTGAAAACGGGTGCCTGGGGAAATATATAGTTCATTCAGGCACATATGCACTTATGCTTGTGTTAAATTAACTGTACATATCGTTCGGGTAATCTCACCATTCAAAGGAGGAGATAACCGGACACTGCAGGAAAACGTACTGTCCGCTTTTGTATTTGAATCCATTCGGTTTGGCCATGACCAAGCTGAATACGCCTCCCGGAAGTACAGAAACCTACAAAGTCCAAAAGAAAAGAGGATGATTTGTAAAATTACTTGTTAACAGGTGTAGTCACATTTAACATGAAAATGCAGTGAGTAATATTTTACCTTCAAAATCTTGACTGCGTAATGTTCTGACCTTCGACGACTCAGACTTCTCTCGGCCACATAAAGAAGAAGGGGAATGGATATGTACATCCATGTCTGCCACATCCAATTACACAAGATGTTAGTGAAAACATAAATCAGCACCCTATAAAAAGTTGATTTTTGTACGAGTCTGACTCACCGTCTTTTTGTACCATTGGTGAACCAAGAGCAAGAAGGTCCCATGGAACAAAAGCAGTATGTAGACAATAACCAGAAGGTGATGGGAGTACCAAAAGGCATTGAAACCCGTTATTCTATTGAAAGGCGGTGGGAATTTTAGGATGTTTCTCCTGAAACGCCTTGTGGCCAATGTGAAGGCAATTACCATTAGGACTACCATGCAGAGACCAGTAATGCCGATAATACCAGTCAAGAGTTCAGTGTAGGTTGGCTTTTTTCCATGAAAATCAGAAGCAATCAGCTTGAACTTTTCAGGTGAGGATCGAACAAGCCGTGGGAAGTCGCATGTCAAGTGGACGCCTCCATGGACTGCAACTCCTGCAGCAATAGCGCATGCTATGATCTGCAAGTAAACATCAACTATTAATAA